CCCGAGCATTTAGAAGGTGCCTGTGTTGTTGGAGGCTTCGAGGAGCGGTCTGGATACATCGCCACCCCTCTGGGAGCTCAGTCACAATTGTTACAGTTCGCCCCTGACCCCACGAACTGACTTGAGCGGGGACGGAGCGAGTTGTACGAGAGCCTTTGACCGTGTCTGGCTTCTCCATTGAATGAGACCAATGCTCATTCTTAGTTCCTTCTGTGTCTCCAATATACAGCATGGAATAGGCGTGAAACATGCGACTCTGACAGGACCCAAGGACACATGGTCACGGGTTGCAGACGCTAACATTCTCCCGGCCCTTCCAGGGCGTCCGGAGGGCAGTCCACCTCCTTCCCCCTGATTTGGCTTCCTTAAGGGGCCTCCAGCCCACCTACACTTCTGACTTCTTTTCTTGGAAATCCCTTCCCCTGTCTGCCTGTCTTCCATTTCTTCTCTTTCCTTCCTTTTACGCCAGTTCCTAACCTGTGGTCATTGTTTCATTCAGCCTCCTTCCTACTTTGCTCCTTGAAGAAAGAATTTCTTCTCTTTTTGGTCCTGGGACCTTTGCTGATTGGATACATTCGACCTTGACACGTGGAGAAGTCAAGAGAAATAATGTGAGGAGGGGGTCACCCTGTGAGACAGAGACATGAGTGCCACCTGCTGCCGACATCTCCCGGTGAGAGAGGGACACCAATCCCGAGTAAGACATAAACCCTATTTCATTTGCAAACGGAGTTCGGAATCGCCAACAAGCTGTGACATAGCTTCGGTTTAAAACAACCTGTTTGGGGCACCTGGGTGGCTCAGTCAGTTAAGCATCCAACTCTGGATTTTGGTCCAGGTCACGATCTCACATTTCGCGAGTTCGAGCCCCACGTCTGCGCTGACAGGGCCGAGTCTGTTTGGGATTCTGTCTCTCCCTCTCTCTCTCTGTCTGCCCCTTCCCTGTGCTCTCTTTCCCTCTCTCTTTCAAAATAACTGAACTTAAAAAATAAAATAACCTGTTTATGTTTTGTTTAATCTTATTTTATTTCATTATTTAAAAAAAAATTTTTTTTTTAACATTTATTTATTTTTGAGACAGAGAGAGAGCATGAACGGAGGAGGGTCAGAGAGAGAGGGAGACACAGAATCAGAAGCAGGCTCCAGGCTCTGAGCCATCAGCCCAGAGCCTGACGCGGGGCTTGAACTCATGGACCGTGAGATCGTGACCTGAGCCGAAGTCGGACGCTCAACCGACTGAGCCACCCAGGCGCCCCTTATTTTATTTCATTATTATTTTTTAATGTTGATTTCTTTTTGAGAGAGCCAGAGCACGAGCGGGGGAGGGGCAGAGAGAGAGGGAGACACAGAGTCCGAAGCAGGTTCCGGGCTCCGAGCTGTTGGCACGGAGCCCGACGCAGGGCTCGATCCCACGAATCGTGAGATCGTGACCTGAGCCGAAGTCAGACGCTCAACCGACTAAGTCACCCGGGTGCCTCTGTTCAATCATACTTTAAAGTGTTCAGAAAGAAAAGAGGGCTTATTCATTTTAGAAAAGTCGAACGTTTGAAACATAAGAAGGTTCATGAAGTGATTAAGTGTTGTGAATATGTGTATTCATCTTCTGTTAACATTGAAGGAAATGGGCCCAGAGGCAACTTAAATTTTTTCTCCTCGGAGCAGCCTTTTGACCACCTTACTTAAGCAAATCTTTCCTCTTATTCATAATCGTTGTACTCAGCTCAGTTTGGTCAAATTATCACAATCCGTAAATAAATACTTCTTTGTTGGTCTTTTTGTTTACCGTCTCTTCTCCCCCGCAAGACGCTCAGCCCCATGAGGACAAGAGCTGTATCTGTTTAACTCACAACTGCAAACTCAGAGGGCAACCGAGTGCTTGGCTTGTGGTAGATATTTCAGTATTTTTTGAATGAATGAATAACCAACGGATGAGAGTTGAGAACATTTTGTCTTAAGTTCAAAGACCGTCAGGTGTCGTAAAAATCTGGGACCTGTACCATTGTGTGTGTAACCGTGTGTGTGTTTTCTTTCTGCTTTTGAAAGAAGGAAGGAAGGGGCGCCTGGGTGGCGCAGTCGGTTAAGCGTCCGACTTCAGCCAGGTCACGATCTCGCGGTCCGTGAGTTCGAGCCCCGCGTCGGGCTCTGGGCTGATGGCTCAGAGCCTGGAGCCTGTTTCCGATTCTGTGTCTTCCTCTCTCTCTGCCCCTCCCCCGTTCATGCTCTGTCTCTCTCTGTCCCAAAAATAAACGTTGAAAAAAAAAAAATTAAAAAAAAAAAAAAAAAGAAAGAAGGAAGGAAATGGAATCCTTATCCTGAAATATCCTTCATAGGGGCCAAGGTCAGGCCGTCCTCAGGCAGCCACTTTAGCATTGAGATCATGCTGAGCTGAAAACATAGGCCCAAAAGACTTGGGAAGAAACTTTGAACTCCCCCATTCCCCACCAAAGAATTTTTTGTTTTTTTTTTTTTTTTTGAGAGAGAGAGGGCACAAGTGAGCAAGGGGCAGAGAAAGAGAGAGAGAGAAAGAGAGAGAAATAGGGTTCCCCCGAAGCAGGGCTCGAGCTCACCCAAAGTGGGACTCAGGCTCAGCCGATTCTCCCTTACCAAAGGATTTAGACAGAGGACCTGTTCCAGGAAGAGAACCATTAGCACAGAGGGATACAGCATAATATGACCTAGGGGTGGCACACAGGGAGGAACTTGGTTAGCAAAGTCTGTGAGAATTCTTCTCTATGTCCCATTGTTTCTGTATGGGCCAGCAGACATCTGTTTACCCAAAATTTACTCTTTTTCGTTTTTCTGTGAAGTGACTTCCTTCCCTTTGAGGTCCCAGCCTCCTATCCCCTTCTCCTTATTTCCAGATGACAGATACCTCATTTTGCCTGTCTTTGGAATGTTCCATGCATATATGGATTCTCTGTATGTACCAAATTAAGTTAGATTTTCTCCTGTTAATCTCTCTCATGTGTAGGGACCAAGAACAGGCTGTCCCCAAGGTGGGCTACTTTGGCATGAACATTATTTTGAGTGAAAAGCAATCAAAAGCCAGCAGACTCAGGAAAAGCTGTTTACCTCCCCCTCAACTGCCTGCCTGTACCAGGAAGAGCTTTATTTTATTTTATTTTATTTTATTTTATTTTATTTTATTTTAGAGACAAAGTATGAGTGGGTGGGGGAGAGGGGCAGAGGGAGAGGAAGGGAATCTTAAGCAGGCTACACGCTCACTGTGAATCCCCATGTGGGGGCTTCATCTAATGATCCTGGGATCAAGACCTGAGCCGAGCAGGACGCTCAACTGACCGAGCCACTCTGGTGCCCCAGGAAGTGAGCTGTTAACAGAGATTCCTTTTTACCTAAGAAACGTAGCTGCCTAATAGGGCATATTTGTTCTCCAAACCTTTCCTCTCACCTTCCCGCCAACGGCCTTCCTCCCCTCTGTATCCTCAGACTCCTACCTCTTTCCTGAGCTCACATAGGCTTCGTGCAGCCTCACTGTCTTTGGAGTTCCATGTCTGTGTGGCTTCCCTGCGCGCAGAAAACTGAATTGATTTTCTCCTGTTAATCTGCCTCCTGTCAGTTTGATTCTTAGTCCAGCTGGAGGGACCTCAAAGGGCAGAGGGAATTTTTCCTTCCCAACACCTTCTAAGTAGTTTGTTGGCGTCTAGCCTTGACACCCTATAATCGGTTTCTTCCGCTGAAATTTTAGAAGCACCACTCCTTTGGTCCAGATACACTGACTTTCTTTCATGTCCTCTCACCCTGTCGAAGGGTCTTGGCACAGGCTCTGCCCTCTGCCCTGGCTCTGCTTTCCTGTAAGTAGCTCTTACTCGCCGTAGATCTCAGCTCGATCATTACCGTGTGGGAGAAACCTTCCTGGATCCTGGCAGCACCCCTGGTGCAGGTTACCACTGCACCATGCATCTTTCTTTCATACAAGTCATTGCCACTGCAGTGGTATTTGAAGAATAATTTGACTCTTGGCCTCTAAAAAGGAAACTCT